GGAAAGAAGTGGCTGGAGGTATCAGGGGGAGAATGGCCGAATCCCTGGAGTGGACGGGGTTCGCCAGATGGAGATGACGATGTTATGTTATGGGCAACCCCTGATGGCATGGAGCGTTCCCTAACCAAGCACTATCCGAGAAAGCAAGCTCCACTCTTTTCAGATCGGACAGTGCTCTCTGGAATTGCTTTCTATTCGTTCTGAAGGAGGTGGTATCGGAGTAAATTAGCGTCCTCATAAAGCCAGTGAGGTTATGATTAGACCGGAGGCCCTAGATAGGTATGCTTCCTTAGCGACTTTCTGTATCATCCCCTGACCAAGCACTATCCGAGGAAGTCATTATTAGAATGAAACAGTTTCATGTTATATTCATCGAAAATAAATCCCTGTTTGTTTGTACCAATCTTTGTCCCTACTACATAAGAAGGAGGATGCCCGGCGTAGCCGGGCATTACATAAGAAGGAGGAGAGCCCGGCGTTAGCTGGGCGATCCGACTGGTGGATAGATAAAAGAAAAAGTTGTTGTTTTGCAAACTGCGGGCCAGAGATCCGATTTATTACCATATTCCATTTACTCAGGCAGAGGATTGCAAATTCAATTTGGGTTTATAAGACCTGACAGCGCTTGATCTGAAGAAAGATTTGTTTTTCCGAAAAACCCTTAGTCTCAAGCGAACAACTTGATATTAACCGTCATAACTCGAACTGACGCTAGTATTAGAGCCACATTTCCACCCAAAAATGAGTAATCAGTTAATTCAAAATTACTACAGGAACCTAGGTGATGCAGGTGAATTGGAACGAAAAAGTGCTCTTCTGAGTATTGTAATGCACGTGAAAAATTCTTCCCTTTCTTCGAATCAGCTCTTTTGTCCGTCCAGATGAGTTTGCTACCAATCAACCGACCCCGGAGGGATGGAAGGCTTGGTTTTCCTAGGCACTATGGAAGCTCTGTCCATTGAGCCACTTGAAAACAAAAGGACAAAGGCTCTACTGTAGTGCCGGGAGTATCCCAATGAAACAAAGTTCGTTAATGGTCGCATTGCATAAACATCCTTTGTCAAACAGCAAACAACAAATGATCCTTGCCCTCTGTACTTGTTTGCCTAGGAACCTGAACAAATGCGTTCCGGTTCTCCTGGATCGATATCCGCCCAAGCCAACCAAGCCTTCTCTCCCTCTGGTTCGGTTAGTAGGTACCGGACTAGTCTGGGAGGATCAAAGTGCTGTACATGCACATCAGCTGGTCATCGCAAGTCATTATATTCCACGTACCCAACTCCTTGACAACTCCTCTACGATCCTGAATCGGAGTCAAATGTAAGGCGCATCCCACAAAGGAATTGATCAACGCCAAGACACTTCATCTTCTATCCTTTCTATATGGCGTTTTGGCTGTACGTATCAGTCAGTAATCGTGTGGGATAATTCTATGAAGAATAGTTATACTTCATAGAATTATCCCTCTTCTTCTGGTTTGATGACCATCACGGCCGCTTTTGCAGGGAATTGTACTTCTCATTTTTAGAAATAGGATCATTTAACTACCCATTTCCGACCTTCAACCCATCTTCCAAGTCCTAAACTATGCAGATCAACAAACGTTGCCCAGTCGCTCACATGTGACAAGGGCTCATCTCTCGATCGTTAACATCAAAATATTATTGTCAAGAGTACCTGTCCCATCGAGTGTACTGTGTTCATTTGCAGTAACGCTTTCTCGTTCCGCATGTTGCGTACTGGTGTTTTGCCGTCTCACCAGAACCGACTTGTGCATTCATTAATGTTATCCCCTCTATCTTTCACGGAAACGTACTTTTATATGGACACTCGACTCCTACAGTAATCTGGCTGAGGGTCTTAATTTCATTGAGTGATCGTGGTGCACTGCTACGTACTGCTGACCCACCGCCAACTCTGTGCCCTTGCCCAAGGTCTCTTTTCGATGCGGCGTCCCTTCGACGGGTCGAGGGCTGTGCTGCACAGAGAGGGTTATGCCGTCGGAGGTCTGCGTGCATTGCATTTTATTTCACCCTAAGGTCACTGTAAATGCTCATACTGGCCTTTCATGTCTGCCTACCTTCCTTTATCCTCTAAGCCGTGGTGTGCCTCCTGGTGCGTGGTGCATGACGGCTAAATAGCGTCATCTAGGGCCATGCCCAGTCCGTTACCTAAAGTTGATTGGTTCTTTACCACCGTTTATATGACGACTCACATCTCCATATCGCTCATAGGTTCCATGAGGAATCTTTCTACTCTCCAGAGCGTGCCACTTTCGTATCCCATCTCAGAAAGTTGGTGTCTTTTTTCTTGGTCATGGTCCCCTAACCAGAGCACACTTGGCGTCCGGATTACTATTGAGAAAGTTCCCTCTACAGTAACCAACCCACTAACCAACTTAGGTAGTTGTTCGAAGGAACTCAACGTTAGTGGGACATAGACAGACCGCCCAGGCAGTTGTTTTGTTGTTATTGCATGGCAGTTGTTGACATGGATAGTTCATCGTTATGACACCCAGTGTCCTATGAACTCTGCAGTGATTTCTGCAGTAACAGAAGAAATGAAGCCCCATTTAGCCGCCGTCCATGCACCCTCCAGTCCACGTATGTTTCAGCGCTCTAATCCATCCCAGCTTTTGACCTGCGGCCACGAAAAGCACTTTGGCGCCTGACCATTTCCATTCAAGAAAACAACTTGCGAAATGCTGGAACTCGATTTCACTGTGCCAACTTAGTGCTCTTTCTGTGAATCTGACTGTGTTCGTCATTCTAAATCGTGATTGTTCTGCTTAAATCTGTTTTGAATTCAAATCCATTCCCGGTTATTGTTGTTTATAGTTGGATCTACTCTCCTCAAAATGCTCCGCGTCGTTGGTAGAAGTCTCGGACTTCGTTACACGTCATTTCGAATGCTAAGTAGTGAGAAACCAAAGCCACCGAAGAAAACAAAAGAGGAAATCATGAAGGAGAAGACTCCCAAAGGGAAGCTGGAGGATGATGTGCGTTTTTCTTACAGTTCAGGGTTGAATCTTTTGTTACTTCTATTGATGTCACAGTAAGAGTTTTCCTTCTAGTTTTGTGCTTCCTGTTCATTGGTAAAAGCTGTGTTGTCCAAAATGTTTTTTCTTTGCCTTGTAGTCAATTCGCTTTCACTCATTTGATATATTCTATATACGTGCCTTCTATGAACGACTCACGATCTTACTGTTACAGAAGCCATACGAAGATCCTTATCTTCCGAGACACCCAGGCGGAGTGAATCCCATCACTGGAGAGGTGCGTCGTCCTTTTTTCTGGTAGGAAACGGGTGATCCAATGGCTTTTCGTAAGCCCCGATTATTATGTAGTACTGTCCTTGTTAAGTTGGATAAATTTCATTGAAAATTGTTCTCATCTAAAGAGAAACGTGTAAATTCAGTCCACTGCACAAAAGACTTTTGTGCGAACCCTTTCCAATAAAATCACTTTGTTTGGGAACTTTATTTGTTGCAAACTTACTAGTAACTCTGAGTCTGTGACAGGATTCGTCTGGATAAATTAATTAAGTGGTCCCATAATCCAATCGTCATGCTCCTCTCTTTAGTCAGACAAG